TACATTCCTGGATGCTTTTGGTGAGCCATGGGGGCTTATGCACCCTTCTGCTCCCTTTGATCCTCGTTGGGATTACCTTCCTTTGGGCTTGGAGGATCATCTCCTTGAGGAGCAACCACTCTCCTTGGACACCTGTCTCCCCTCCCCTTCTTGCTGGTTTTGCCCTTCTGACATATATCCCAATGAGGTACTGACTGTCAGCTGTGCCTCTCTGGGTGAATAACCTTGTAATTTATCTCTACTTGTTCCTAATTTTGTCTGTGGTTTCTAAAGTAGCCTCGAAAAAACTCACTAAGAGCTTTGAGTCATTTTGCACTTAGGCTGAAAGCCACTTGCTCTTTTACTGCTGTTCCTTTACAATATACTCAATTTCAGCTCAAATTTTAATCTTTCCCATCCTGTTCTCAAAGCAGATCCTCTCATGGCTGAGACACTGACAGAGAAGTGGCTAGCACAGGAATAACAACTGCTTTGCATCCTTCAGAGCAAGGGTGAAAGGCAACTATTGAGGCTCTTGGCCTCTCCTTGCAGAAGATGATGAAGGAAACCCTATAAGCCAAGCACATGAGGCACATATCCCAAGAGTGCAGACCAACATACCACTTGAACCATTCCCAGAATGTCACTGATTGGAAAATGGTCCACAATTGACATGGGGCAGAGATGTCCACTCTTAACATTGCCAAGGGTCCAAGAAGAAGGGTCATCTTTAGGGATTGGAGTCTCCTGGTTGTGAGCCTCTGGAGTTTCCCCACAATTCCCTAAGCAAAATTGGCTGGACACCAAGGAAAATGAACAGGAAGATGTCAACTGCATGTAAATGACATGTTCTGTTTTCCTTTCTCTCTTACACTTGAGTTCAATAAAGAAGGTTCCTGTACTTTACCAAACTCTGTGTGGCACTTCCCTGGCTGGAGATAGATGGCTGGGTTTATTCTCTGGACCGCAGCTTCTGAGTTGTTGGTGTGCTGGTTGCTCAGGGTGGGGTGGGGGTGTGGCTGCCCGAGGTCTCTGCAGTGCTCATCAATTTACTTCCACTCATGACAACTGATCAGGGTTCAGTGCATTCAAAGGTGACTTGGAGTTGGGGGTGGCTAGGTATATGTTGGGGGCTGCCTGGACTACTGCTTCTGCGTTTCTGGGGGCTGCGTGCTCGGGGGGTCTGTCCAAGGTCTTCGTGGCTTTAAACAGCACTTTCCCCCAATTGCCCATCAGTTTCCTGGGTTCTACATACCCATGTAAATTGCAACATCAGGAAGGAAACTGATGAGTGACTTGAGGGAAAGTGCTCTTTAAAGCCATAGCAAACCGGACCCCAGGCGCACACAGAAACAGTGGGGACAGGAAGCCTCTCTATGCATCCATGTGGCTGGAGTTCCTCTCTCTCAGACTAGGAGTGTTCTGGCTGTATACCAAAGCAGCCATGAGGGGGCTGGGATGTGTTTGTGGGGAGTTGTGTAGTGTGGGATATCTGAAGGACTGACTAGATACTAGTCACAGAAAGCTGAATGTCTGCATATAGCACTGAACCAGTATAAGGTTCACTTGATTATCTAGGTATATTTTTTAAATGGTCCAGAAAGTTTAAACCATTCTAAATCGGCTTTTATATCTGGACACTTGCAATTTAAACCATATTTAAATTGGTCTAAATGCCGTTTGTGTCCATGTTCTGAGATTCTCCATATTACAGGAGCAGCTAGAGACTCCATTATGCTAAGCTCTGTGTGCATACACAATAAGAGTCAGTCTTGGCCTTGGAGTGCTTCCATATCAAGTAAACAAAGGAAATAGTTTCCTACCTTGATTTTAGAAGATGGGAACTGAGCGATGGGGATCAGAGATCAGAGTTTTCAAAGGTGTTTTGGCACTAATGGCTGTAGATTTTGTCAACAGTCTCTAGACACTTCCCAATAACTCCCTTTAATTTAGTCACTTAAATTTGGTACTCAGGACCAGATCCTGTTCCATCGGTCAGGCACGATTCTAAGTGTGATTCTTTTGCACACTGCTTGAGTCTCTGAAAACCAGTTAATGCAAAAGGGAAGTGAGTCCTTCTTGCTGCTTTTTTTTTTGACTAATTTTTATGGGACAGATGATGGTGTATTACAAAAGTAGATGCATTAATAGATTTTTCAGGACTTCAGCAAGGTGGAATAAAATCGCATTTGGGGTGCCTAAGTCCACGTAGATGCCTAATAGGTGGAGTAGATTCTGCCACTATCTGACTTTCCCAAGGTCACATGAAAAGCCCTGCTTGGTTAGGGGCCTCCCAAGTGAGTACTCAATGCCTTATCTACAAAGTTCTCCCCCCTCACAGCCAGTGATGCTGCTCATGGGTTCTTCTTCAACACAGTGAATATAGTTTAACTCTGACTTACCTCACTATAATACCTTCTCTGCTAGCTGACTTAAGAGTGGTGAATTGAAATTTTGCATGCCAGGGGAGCACCTTAAATTAAGGATTAAAAGAGTATTCTGGCTTCAGTCTCACTTTCTCCTGCTGAAGATGCTCCACGTTCCATTACTAGTTAGGCATGCATTGGAGCAGGGATACGACTGGATTCTAAGAACCAGGGCTCTAAGCAAAACTACTAAATCATAAGACTTGTTATAAGATCAGGAGAGCTGGCACTTTTTTTATCATGTCTACTCCTCACCCTGAGCATGACAATGGTGATCCTTCCTCTGTTCATTTTCATGGTGGACTCTTAAAATAACACTGTCCTGCACATCAGTCTCTCATTTTGTGCTTGTACAACACAAAGCACAATGTGCCTGGATGTTAGATGGGCCTTCTATAATATATTATATTCTAGGGAACTTACCGTGGGGGCTGATTTCTAACAGAATGCTACACATGTGGTGAACAAAGGAAAAGCCACGGTAATGCTTACGGTGATAAATGGTGCTCCTGGGCCTTTTTCATAAGCCCATGATACCCAGAGGAAAGGAACCTAAAGTAGTATTTCAGAATATTGGCCTGGACAAAATTCTCATTGAAAAATCTATATAAAAAGTGTAGTCATATAATTTACCCAACTAATAGGCAGTATTGTGTGTACATGTCATGTTCAGTAGGAATTATGAGCCCTAGCCTTCTATGCCATATTGGGTAAAATACTTAAGACTGGGACTCTGATCAAATTAATTGAACATGTACTGTGTTTCATTGCTAGAGGACTGCATGTGATATGCATAGCCTCAGACAGCTAATGAGTCCCCTGGAGTCCTTGCTTTTGATAGGTACAAGATGTTCTACTTTAATTCACTTTCTCTGTTTCCAAGCAGAGGTGAACAAAAGGGGATGGGGGAAGGGAAATATATGTGAACAGGTGTAGAAAATGAAAATCCACTTGTCTAATGTCTCCTAAGATCCTGGGATTTGTTTTCAGAATATGACCTTTCTCTTAAAAAAATGTTCAAGAAACTATTCACAATAATCAAACAAAAATGAATTTCAAAGTGCAAACATCTTTCAGTGCTAGTTAAGATATACAAGTCATAAATACAAGTATTGGTAATAAGCAGGGCTTTCTGACTTCTGTAGCAGGTCTGATTTGGAACATCGGCAGCCAAGGAAAGAGAGGTAACTGTAAGGAAAGTACCTGTCTTCATAGAATCATAGATAATTAGGTTGGAGGGGACCTCAGGAGGTCATCTAGTACAACCCTTCGCTCAAAGTAGGACCATCCCCAACCAGATCACTCCAGGGTTTTGTCTAGCTGGGCCTTAAAAACCTTCAAGGATGGAGATTCTGCCACCTCTCTATGTAACCTGTTTCAGTGTTTCATCACCCTCCTAGTGAGAATGTTTGTCTTAATATCCAACCTAAACTTCCCTTGCTGCAACTTGAGACCATTGCTTCATGTTTTGCCATCTGCCACCACTGAGAACAGTTTAGCTCCATCCTCTTTGGAACCAGCCTTCAGGTAGTTGAAGGCTGCTATTAAATCCCCTCCCAGTCTTCTCTTCTCCAAACTAACTAAGCGCAGTTCCCTCAGCCTCTCCTCAGAAGTCATGTGCCCCAGTCCCCTAACCATTCTTGTTAACCTCTGCTGGTCTATTTCCAACTTGTCCACATCCTTTCTATAGCGGGGGGGGCAAAACTGGACACAGTACTCCAGATGTGACCTCACAGTACTCCAGATGTGACAGTACAGGCAGTCCTCAACTTATCATGTTTTGAGTTAGAATGTTTCGCACTTACAACGTTTTATAAATTGACACCGTGTTTCAACTTCTTTACATCAGTTTCGACTTTACAATGATTGGTCTGATGCGATGCCATGACAGTGAACAAGTTCGCTGTGTCGCTCGTCTCCCTGGAGAACATCTGTCCAAACTTCCTTGGACACCTTCTTTAAGAAAGCACCCAAGCCTCCAGAAAAACCTGCAGCCAGGACTCCTGAGAAGACTGCAGCCAAGAGCCCTTCAAAAAGTCCAACCAAGTCACCTCAAAGAAGTCCTTCCAAATCAACATGATTGCTATTTACAATATAAATACATTAATGTAGCTATATTACTTAGCTATAATTGATCAAGTACAAAATTCTGGGGTATTTTTGGGGAAAATAGGGTATTGGGCCTTGGTTCAGGAACCAATCCCCCATTTATAACATTGCTTCGTATGAGAAAATTGGTTCCGAGTTACAACGTTTCAACTTAAGACGCGGTTTTCAGGAACCAACTGTGTCGTAACTCCGAGGACTCTGTACTCCAGATGTGACCTCACCAGTGAGGAATAGAGAGACATAATCACTTCCCTTGATCTGCTGGTAGTGCTCCTACTAATGCAGCCCAGTATGCCGTTAACCTTTTTGGCAACAAAGGTACACTGTTGACTCATATCCAGCTTACTATCCACTGTAACCCCCGGGTCCTTTTCTGAAGAGCTACTGCTTAGCCACTTGGTATGAAGAGTGCATGGGATTGTTCTGTCTTAAGTGCACCTGTCCTAACAACCTCATGGTTCAGTTAGAGCAAAGTTCAGTTAGGACATGGTTCAGTTAGGACCTTGCACTTGTCCTAATTGAACCTCATGAGATTTCTTTTGGTCCAATCCTCCAATTTGTCTAGGTCACTCTGAATCACAGACCTACCCTCCAGTGTATCTACTGCACTCCCCAGCTTGGTGTCATGTGTGACCTTGCTTAGGATGCACTCCATCACATCTTCCAGATCATTAATGAAGTTAATGAACAAAGCAGGCCCCAGGACTGACCCCTGGGGCACGCCACTTGATACTGGCTGCCAACTAGAACTCAAGCCATTGATCACTGCCCGTTGAGCCCGATGATCCAGCCAGCTTTCTGTCCACCTTACAGTTCATTCATCCAACCCATACTTCCTCAGCTTGCTTACAAGAATGCTGTGGGAGACCATATCAAAAGCTTTGCTAAAGTCAATATCCAAAGTCAAGGTATATCACATCCACTGCTTTCCTCACATCCACAGAGCCTATTATCTCATCATAGAAGGCAATCAGGTTAGTCAGGCATGGCTTGCCCTTGCTGAATCCATGCTGGCTGTACCTGATCACTTTCTTCTGATCCAAATGCTTATAAATGGATCCCTTAAGGTGAGACTGACAGGTTTGCAGTTCCCTGGATCCTCCTTCTTCCCTACCTTAAAGATGGGCACTATATTTGCTCTCCCCTGATTGACACAAGTTTTCAAAGATAATGGCCAACAGCTCTGCAATCACATCAGCCAACTCCCTTAGGATGCTTGGATACATTACACCTGGCCCCATGGACTTGTACATGTTCAGCTTTTCTAAATAGTCCCTAACCGGTTCTTTCACCACTTACAGCAGCTTACCCAGGGTTTGAAATATGGGGAGGCAGGGGGGTTGAGCTCTCCCCATAAGAGATGAGA